CAGAGGCCAAACTCAGGTTGTCAGATCAGGCAGCCAATGCTTTAACTTGGGAGACATTTTTCTGGTGCCCATCACTGTGTTTTGATTGTGATCTGCCACATGAGGAACTTTCCACTTGCATTAGCATGTCATGGCTTCAGACTTTGGTTTGCAGATGAAGAATCTTCACCATTGACTCGTGTTTGTTGAAACTCAGACACTTTCATGGCAAAATAGGAGCAAAGACACTGTACAGTTGAAGTTGTTTCGTTGAGCTATCTCTAAAAGCTTATGAAATAAGTAACTATCTTCATTTTAAAAATAAAAACCTAGCCGGGCATTGGTGGCACATGCCTTTAATCCCAGCACTTGGGAGGCAGAGGCAGGTGGATCTCTGTGAGTTCGAGACCAGGCTGGTCTACAAGAGCTAGTACCAGGACAGCCTCCAAAGCCACAGAGAAACCCTGTCTCAAAAAAAAATAAAATAAAATAAAAATAAAAACCTACCTACGATTTGGGAAATACAGACAGGAGAATCTCAAGCTTCAAGCTTGTCTGTGCCACATGGTAAGACCTTTCTTCAAAAAACACCCAAGAATTAGAGGTGTGGTTCAAAGGTAGAGGGACTGCCTACCAGTTCCGAAGTGAGGCATAGACTGTGGTTTGAGAAGGAAGTGCTGCCTAGAGCTCCCCATGAGGGGCTGGGGGTGTGGCTCGGTCTTAGAGGGACTTGTCTTGCATGCTCAAGGTCTTGGGTACCACCCACAGCACTGCAAAAACAAAGTGTGTCTGTGTACACTATGAGCATGCATATGGTAGCCCAAGGGAAGCTTGGGATGTTTTACCTCCACTTTAGACTGAGCAGAAATGTAATGTGTTTGGGTGGGAGGATGGGGGGGGGCACAACCCAAGGCTCCCAGAGTCCCGGGAGCAGGAGCAGAGATTTCCTAGATCCTCTTGCAGGGTGTCAGGCCTGGAACACAGTGTTTAATTAGGTCTCTGGGAAGGCCCCCAGTGGACAGGCTCCCCTCTTTTCTCACCCAGGGAAACGAGTCTGAAAAAGTGTTCCTGAAAAAGGAGGGGTAGGGTTTTCCCTTCTTCCAGTGTGCCTGCTGGCTAGAGGCTGGGACAGGCTGTGCTTTAGATTCCCAGAACCCTCCTCCCAAGCTCTGGCCAGGCTCCCACCTCTGCCTGGGATGAGAGAGGCCAGACACTGGAAAAGGAGGGAGCCCAGCACCAGCCCAGAGCCCATCCTGACGTGTTTATATTTATGGGAAGACGAAAAGCAGAGATAGTAGGAAACCTTGTGGGGAAGCAATGGGGAAAGAGACAGGAGTCCACACGAGGTTGTCCAGACTTCAGGAACAAGAATAGAGCAATCCAGGAGATGGCGAGATCTGAAAGGAAACTGCAGCCAAAGGCTCAGGAAAGCAAGCTCAAGGTCGCTCTGGTCCAGCCACAGCTACACTGTGGTCATTTAGAAAGAGACTGACTGAAAATTGGATGTGGCATTTAAGGACAGGGGAAGGAGTGGGCTGGGGAGAGGGCTCAGTTTTTTTGTTTGTTGGTTTGGTTTGGTTTTTTCCTCCTTTTTTTATTTGAGTTAGAAACAAGGTTGCTTTACATGTCAATCCCAGTTCCCTCTGCCTCCCTTCCTGCCCTGTCCCCCACACCCCCCCACACACACACACAACTAACACCCTACCAATCCTATACCCTTTCTGCTCCCCAGGGAGCACAAGGCCTTCCATAGGGGGTCTTCAGAGTTGTCATATCCTTTGGGATAGGGCCTAGGCCCACCCCCCTTGTGTCTAGGCTCAGGGAGTATCCCTCTATGTGTAATGGGCTCCCAAAGTCCATTCCTATTGTAGGAATGAGTACTGATCTACTACAAAAGGCCCCATAGATTTCTGAGGTCTCCTCACTGAAACCCACACTCATGGGGTCTGAATCAGTCCCATGCGGGTTCCCAGCTATCAGTCTGGAACCAAGAGTTCCCCCTTGTTCAGGTCAGCTGTTTCTGTGGGTTTCACCAGCCTGGTTTTGACCCCTTTGCTCATCAATCCTCCTTCTCTGCAACTGGGCTCCAGTTCGGTTCAGTGTTTAGCTGTGGGTGTCTGCTTCCTCTTCCACCAGCTGCCAGATGAAGGCTCTAGGATGGCATATAAGTTAGTCATCAATCTCATTATCAGGGGAGGGCATTTAAGGTAGCCTCTCCTCTGTGAGGGCTCCGTTTTTAAAGCTGTACTTGCTGTACAAATATGAGGACCTGAGTTCAAATCCCAGCATCCACGGAAAAAGCCAGGCATGATGGTGTAGATCTAAAACTCCAGCACTTGGGGTGGGGGAAGAAACAGGGAGATCACTGCCCAACCAGCCCAGCCCAAACCATGGGCTCTAGTTCAGTGACAGACCCTGTGTCACCAAAACAAAGATGGAGAGTAATAGACAAAGACACCCAAACATGTGCACATACAGGTGAACACACACACACACACACACACACACACACACACACACACACGTAGGCATTTAGAGTGCTTCCCTAGTCCCTCACCTCCATAAAACTTAAGCAGAGAATTACTTTAAGAGGTAGCAATGTTGTTTCCAGGTATATGTATAAAAGAACTGAACACGGGGCCAGCAAGATGACTCAGTAGGTAGGGGAGCTTGCCACAAACCCCTGATGACCTGAGTTCCATTCCCAGGACTCACATGGTAGAAGGAGAAAGTGGACTCCTACAAGTTGTCCTCTGATATAGAAGCACACACAATAAACAAACAAATAAATGTAAAAGATAATGATATAATAATTGAAAGAGTCAGTTAGGGTACTGCATGGCTGTAATCCCAGCATGGAGGCCACTAAGACAGAAGGTTCACAAATTTGAGGCTAGTGAGTTTCTCATTACCAGAGGAGTCCAGCAGAGCCCTGTCTAAGAAACAAAGGGAAGAAAACCATTGAAAGCAGACCGTAAACAGAGATCTGTGTGATCCTGTCCTTGGCACCTACCTATGAGAGCCAAAAGACAAACAAACAAAATGCAGTCTGGGCTGGGAAGATGACTCACTCATAGAGTGCTTGCTATGCGAGATGAAGACTTGAGTTCAACACCAGGAAACAGTATAAAACAGAACAGCCTAGCCAGGCCGTGGTGGCACACACCTTAGTCCCAGCACTCTGGAGGCAGAGGCAGAAGCAGAGGCAGAGGCAGATGGATCTCTGTGAGTACAAGGCCAGCCTGGTCTACACAGTGAATACCAAGAGAGCCAGGCCTCTGTTACACAGAGAAACCCTGTTTCAAAAAAAAAAAAAGAAAGAAAGAAAGAAAGGAAGGAAGGAAGGAAGGAAGAAAGAAAGAAAGAAAGAAAGAAAGAAAGAAAGAAAGAAAGAAAGAAAGAAAGAAACCCAACAAACAAAACCAGCCTGGAGTAGCAGCATAAACTGTAATCCCGGTACTGAGAGGGGAGACAGATCTCACTGGCCAACCAGCATGGGCAAATGGGTGTGTTTTAGGCCTCTGACAGACCTTGTCTCAAAAACCAAGGGGGACGGTAATTTTGTTGTTGTTGTTGTTTTGTTTGTTTGTTGATTTTTGGTTTTAGAGACGGGGTTTCTCTGTGTAGCTTTGGAACCTATCCTGGCACTCGCTCTGGTGAACTCACAGAGATTCACCTGCCTCTGCCTCCTGAGTGCTGGGATTAAAGGCGTGTGCCACTAATACCAAGCATAGATGGTGATTTTTGATTGTCTAATTGACACAGTGTAACAGAGACTTCATAAAGGGTTGTCTACACTGGGTTAGCCTGTGGGTGTGTCTGAAGGGCTTGTGGTGACTATAATTGCTGAGGAGGGAAGACTCAACTGACTGGGGGTGGTACCATCCCTACAACCCGGAACTTTGAGCCAAATAAGCCCTTTCTCCCTGAAGTTAATTAGACAGAGAATTTTATTACGGCAACTGGAAATGAAACTAAGACCCTGAAGAAGGCCACACAGGATTGACCCTCTCTGACCTTTACACATGGGCACTGTTCCTCCACAGACAGGAACACACACACACACACACACACACACACACACACACACGCACGCACGCACGCACGCACGCACGCACGCACGCACACGCACATGCACACGAGAGTAAAATGTGGCCTCTGCATACAGTGAAGTGATGTGTGGTTCTGGCTAAGAAGCACAGAGATTCAGCGTGGAAGACTTTGAGGGAAATGAACCCTTGAACCCTAGGTTAGGCATATGTCCTAGCCACTGTCCTATTGCTGTGAAGAGACACCATGACCAAGGCAGCTCATAAAAGAAACATTTAATAGGCTTATTTACAGTTTCAGAGGTTTAGTCCATTATCATCGTGATAGCAAGCATGCAAGCAGGTGCTATAGCAGAGAGACTCTGGGCTTATTTGAAACCTCAAAGACCACTCCCAGTGACACACTTCCTCCAACAAGGCCACACCTCCTAGTCCTTTTAATCCTTTCAACTGCTTCCATTCCCTGGTGACTGAGCATTCAAATATATGAGGAGGCCATTATTTTTCAAACTACCATGAATCCACTCCCCGTAGGCTGATAGTCATATTATAATGTAAAATGTATTTAGTCCAACTTCAGAAGTCCCCATAGTCTACCAGTCTCAACACTGTTTAGAAGTCTAATCTCTTCTGAGACTCGTGGCAATCTCTTAACTGTAACCCCCTGGAAAACCAGAAACCCCTATAAAATCCAAACCAAATAGCAGATCATATACTGCCAACATGCAATGGCACAGAATATAATTACCGTTCTAAAAGGAGGAAAGGGAGCATAATGAGGAAATACTGAACCAAAGCAAGACAGAAAGCCATTTTTAGTCAAACCTCCACAATATACCGCTGCAGAGATGAGGTCCCATTGGACAAGAGGAAAATGAGACCAGCTGTGTGCTGAGGAATGGGCACTTGAGTCCAGGGACCTCAGCTCTGTTACCGCTTGACCAACAAACAGCCTCTTTTCCCAACCTACAGGAAGATGCTCTTCCAAGGCACCTTAGTGAGAGCACCGAAGACCTCAGTCTGGATATGGGAGCCCTTCAGGGCAGCGAGTACCTCCGGGATCTGGGCTTAGGGGCCCCTTCCGACCACCATCAGTCTGAAGTGGCTGTGGATCCCGAGACCCCCAGAAAAGAAGTCAGAAGAGAGACCCTCTGCTCAAGCGATGCAGTAAATCCAGCCCTGCCTCAGAGACGAAGCTGGGAGAGGCCACGGAGTTGCTCAGAGGGTTGTCGAAGGTCAGCCCCCACCACCTCCACTGGTACCTTCCAGGATGCCACAGGGCAGGAATCTGAGGGACCACAGCCAGTTCTCAGGACATAGTGCTGTCCTGCCTGTTACCCAGCTGTGTGACTTTTGCTGAGGAGATGTAAACAAACATCCCTTCACCTCAGATAGGGCACCAGTAACAGATCATCCAAGTCCACCTCAGAGAACTGACTTCATTGGAGTTAATTACAGGAGTTTGGATAAGGGATTAATTACTTGAGTGTAGATAACTCAGAAGCAGCTCTGTGGGGCTGGAGAAATGACTCGGTGGTTAAGAGCACTGACTGCTCTTCCAGAGGACCTGGGTTCAATTCCTAGTACCCACATGCCTGTAACTCCAAGATCTGACACCCCCACACAGATATACATACAGGGAAAACACCAATACAAATAAAATTAAAATAAATAAATAAATAAATAAATAAATAAATAAATAAAAAGCAGCTCCATCATGAATACCAACTGACTCACAAAAGCTGCACGGCTGGGCCTCCCTGCACAATAGGCAACTCCACCAAAGAGTGTCTTCTCTCCCAGCAACTGTGTGTGAAGGTCTCATACAACATCAGGTTCTTGAGCTTTCTTGTGGGTTTCTGAGGGTTCCCCTTCCCTCCAAAGGGGAAGTTTCAAGTGGGAAGAAGCATGTGTGAACCTCTATGTGCAGGTTCCTTCACTCACAAACACATCACATGGGGCCAGCCATGTGCCCGCACTGCTAGAGGCAGCCCAAATATGTGTTCTCACAAATGCATGTGAGCATGCGTGTGTAGATTCCTGCACATGCAAATGCACATATGTGTACACAAAGGACCTACTTGCTTCACACTCACCCTGTTAAAGCCATGACTGATGGCCTGTAAGTGGTGGGGTGTCTACCCAAAATTTGCCCCCGACCTGCATGCTACAGACTCACATATGATCAAAACACAGATGAGTGCCCATCTTCCCCCACCACAGCAGCAGCAGCAAAAGTAGAGGGGCTCTGGTCACCACCACCCTGCACCGGTGTGCCTCAACTTCTCCCAAAGGGCCTCAGGTGTAGTTTAATGGTAGGGTGCTTGCCTGGCATGCATGCATGAGGCCGTGGGTTCCACCCTCAATATTGAAGGGGAGGGGAGGGGCAAGAAATGAGAGACAGAGGAAGAAAGGAAACTATCATAGAAAAAGAGAAAGGGGCGGGGAATCTCCCTGACGATGTAGACTCCTCTGGTACTGGGAGGTTTGGAGCCCTTTGTGTGCCACTCCCATCTCCCTGGCCTAGAAACATCCCTATGAGTCCCCTCCTGCCTCTGGGTCCCTAAAGCGATGGCCAGGTATATACCATCCACTAAAGCTTCAATATCTGCTCTTCCCCCAGGCTTAGCCTCGATGCCTCCACGGTGGACGAAGGAGCCTGTCTCCCCCGGACTCTTGCTAGCCTTGCTCTGAATCTGTCTGGAGAGGGGCAGAAGTCTTGGACCCAAGTATGCTTACCTGACAGTGAGATCCCAGAAGAACCCTCAAGTAAGGTAGGCAGAACCTACGCCAATCCCCACAGTAGGCACCTGTTACAAGATTTTCTGTCCAGTTCCGCAGCCGCTTTGCCCCAGATGAACACACAGAGATGCTATAATAATTATTAAACTGTTGGCCAGTGGTTAGGGCTTCTTATTGGCTAGCTCTGTCTTAATTATTTACCCATTACTATTAATCTGTTTCCACGTGGTCTTGGCCTACTGGAGAATGCCTACGGAAGAATGCCCGGAATTCTCTTCCTGGGCTCACATTGCAACTCCTCTCTACTTATACTATCCAGAATTCTCCTCCTCTGGTAGCCCTCCCTATCCTTCCTGCCTGGCCACTAGCCACACAGTGTTTTATTCACCAACCAATAAGAGAAATATACACACAGAAGGACAACCCCATCAGGCACCCCACTGGGCTGCGATGCCAGTGTGATGTGAGAGGGAGCACCTCCCCCATAGATACCAGGAGTCACTGATCACTTGTGAGGACAGGAAGAGGGATCTCCCTAATTTGGCCCATGGCTGTGACATCTCTGGACCCTGACATATTTGCAATAGTGTGTGTGTGTGTGTGTGTGTGTGTGTGTGTGTGTGTGTCTAACATACCACAGGCTAGGTGTATTATAGAAAAAAGATGTTTGTTTTAGTTGTCCAAGGTCAAGGGTTGTGTTTGATGATGACTTTCTTCTCATCTGGTGGTCCTTAGAGGTTGAGTACATCACAAAGCAGTAGACAGGGGGTGTCCGTGTATATTCCTTCAGGGTCTATCATCTTGTGTATGCATGGGTGTGTGCATGCATGGGTGTGTGCATATATGAGTGCATGAGAGTACACTCGCGCACATACACATTCATGTTTGAGCATGTAGGGTAGGGAGAGAGTGTGGAAACCAGAGAATAACCTCAGATGTCATTCCTCAGTGCTGTCCATCTTCTTTTGAGACAGGCTTTCTAGTCGGCTTCTGCTAAGAAAACTGGGCATGGGCATGATGGAGTATGCCTTTAGTTCCAGCAAATGAGGCTAGAGGTAGACAGATGTCTGTGAATTCAAGGCCAGTCTGGTCTACATAGTGAGTTCCTGGATAGCTAGGACTATATAGAGAGGCCCTGTCTCAGAAGCAGGGCCCGGGGGGCAGGGGTGAGAAGTGATTCCTGGAGCTCACTGGTCAGCTGGCCTAGCCCAGTTGATGAAATCCAGGCCCAGTGACACTCAGTGAGAGATGCTGCCTCCAAAAGTAAATAAATAAATAAATAAATAAATAAATAAATAAATATCAAGTGGAGGGCTAGTGAGAAGGCCCAGTGAGTAAAGGCACCTAACCTGATGACTTAAATTCAATCCCCAGTTGTCCTCTAACCTCCACATGTAACCATGCCCACACCTCTACACATCTAGAATACAAACACACACCTCTACACACATACAAATATAAACACACACCTTTACACACATATGAATACAAACACACACCTCTACACACATAAAAATACACAAATTAACTAATTAAAAAATTTAAGTGTAAGATGGACAGTGAGGAAAACACTCAGTGTTGACCTCTGGCCTCCACACACATGTGTATATAGCCTCACAAGCACATACATGCACTGTACATGAATGAGATGAAGTTTCTCTGTGTGGCTCTGGCCATCCTGGAACTCTCTCTGTAGACCAGGCTGGCCTCGAACTCAGAGATCCTCCTGTCTCTACCTCCTGAGTGCAGGGATGAAAGGTGTGCGCCACCAACACCCAGTTTACATACACAATCTTTAAAGGTGGAATGGGCATGACGGTGCACACCTTTCATCCCAGCACTCAGGAGGCAGGCAGATGGCTGAATTTGAGACCAGATCAACCTGGTCTACAGAGTGAGCTGCAAGTAACCAAGGCTACACAGTGAGAGCCTGTCACAAAAAAAAAAAAAAATTGCACCCAGGGGTGCCCCAGCCTGAACAACATTAATGCAACCCTAGACTCCTCCCCAAGGACTGTGTCTAAAGTCAGATGGTCACATTTCCACCCCCTTAATACTCCACAATGGGGATTCAACTCCAACCTGAGTTTCAGATAGGATACACCATAGCCACATCTGGCACTACCCCAGAGTCAAAGGGTCTTCTCTAAGATGGACATGTTCCCATCAAAGGAGACTCATGGGACTGGAAGGATAGCACCATCAGAAAAGTGTCTGCTTTACAAGCACAAGGCTCTGAGTTTGATACCCAGAGCCCACGTAGAAAAAGCCAGCTGTGGTGGAGCATGCTTGTAATCCCAGCCCTGCGAAGGAAGAGGCATGGAGGGTCCCTGGGACTCACCTGCTGCCAGCACAGCCTAATTTACAAGGTCAGTGAGGAATCTTCCCTAAAACAAAACTGGTAGATTGCACTTTGAGGAATAACTCCCACAGTTGTTCTCTGGCCTCTACATCACACACACACACACACACACACACACACACACACACACGGGGTGGGGGGTGATATCTTGGTCATAAATGTTACCAGTGGGCTAGAAGAAGGAGAGCCTGTTCCCTTGTCTGAAGCCCCAGCCAGGCATAGAGAATCCAACCTAGAGTGCAGCCCACAGTGGAAGGAAAACATGGCTGGGGGCTGCATCCAGGGAGAATGAGTCTCAGACACCTGGGGAATTCATTGCCTGTGTCCACGATACCTTTGTCCCTAAACATGACCCACGGTTGGGGGGATTCACCATTCATATGGATATGAGTACCACAGCCTCAAATATAACCCGGTTTCTGGGAAAGGCTCACAGTTTGATTGTATAGAGGCCTTGATGTGGCTGGGAGTTGGAGGTGGGGGAATAGGTGTGGTACCCGAGGTGTACTTGACCTGGGGCAGGGCAATTAATCCTGTTCCCCCAACAGGAATGTAGCAGCCCTGAGAAAAGGCTAAGATCCAAGTCAGTGCCTGTGTCCTGTGAGGAGATCAGCTGTCTGGAACTGGCTTCTGGCTCAGACGAGTCCCCTGCACCTGTGCAAGGTAGCCAGGCCTAGCTGAGACAGGGAAGCGCTCTATGGGTGGAGCCCCAGCTGGGCCTCAGGGATGACAGGAGTTATGAAGGGAGCATGGTGTCACTGGGGAAGGAAGTTGCAGTCTGATGGATCCAGAAAGAGGGTATCGCCTCCAATGTCTGCCATCAGCCTTTCTCTGGGGTACCTCTGGGTCTTCTTCCTCCTTCTCTCTTCTCTGTACCTCCCTCTCTTCTCTCTCTTCTCTCTCTCTCTCTCTCTCTCTCTCTCTCTCTCTCTCTCCCTCTCTCCTTTACTCCTTTTTATTTTATTTTATTATTATTAATAATGTGTGTGCGATGTATTGAGAAGAATGTGCACATACAATTGCACACATGTGCTATGAAGACAGGAGTTGATTCTTTCCTCCCACTGTGTGAGTCCAGGGTAACAAGCCCTCTACCTACTGAGTCATCTTCTACCCTGCCCTCTTTGTCCCTCCCTCCCTTCCTCCCCCTCTCTCTTCTTTCCTCTCTCCATTGTTCTCTCTGCCTCCTCTCTTCTCTACATCCTCTCTTTTGCTCTCTCTCCCTCCCACCCCTGCTCTGGCTCTCTCTTTATTTCCCTCCTTGTCTTTGAATCTCTAATCAAAGACTATACTTCTCTGTTGTCACTCAAACTGTCATATAAATCCGACCGGCTTTGTGAGTGGGTCTGAGCCTCCCTGACTGTCCTCTGAAAGAAGGAACAGTGAGTGTAGCTCCTGGGGGTGCCTGGGAGAGTCTGCTAAGTTTGCATACACAGCAAGACAGTCCCTGATCCAGGGCTTCTTCCTGTCTCTCCTCCCTTAGAGAGTTATATGTTCAGCCTCTTATGCTTCTGGGGCTGGTGTGGGCAGGTGTAGAGCCGGACCCTTGCTCATTCCTGTGTCCCCTGTGCTGGGAACTGATTCTAGGCCTTGAACCACCTGTGCTGGAATGCCTGGAAAAGGATCACGTGGAGCCAGACCATGTGTGAGTGTCTGTCCCACACCAGATAGGAATGCCCAATGGACTGGCTAGGGGTAGGTGGGTAGGTAGGAGTTTGCCCCACAGCAGGCAATGAGTGCCCGGTGGTTAGGGGGAGGTGGGTATAGGGTTTGCCCCACAGCAGGCAGGAATGCCCAGTAGTTAGGGAGGAGTCAGGAAGAGGGTTTGCACCACAGCAGGCAGGGGTGCCCCAGTGGACTGGGTAGGGGGAGGTGGGTAGAGGCTGCAGCCAGAGGATGTAGCTGCCTCTTGTGAGCAGCCATGGCTGTGGCTGTGGCTCATTTGGTAGAGGGCTCACCTCGAATGCACTGGATTCCATCCCTAGTACTACATAGACCAGGCATGAAGTAGTGTCTCCCTGTCATCCCAGCACTCAGTGGGTGGAGGCAGGAGAGTTGAAGAGTTCAAGGCCATCCTTAGCTAATTGTAAGCTGAAGGTCAGCCTGAAATACATGAGACCTTGTTTCAAACACCCTCCTCCCAATTTTTTTTTTAAATAATTGACCACGCTAGCCTAATCTAGCTCAGTCTCATATAATGGGGCTTCTCTCTCAACCTTTGCCCAGGAGGAAGTCATCAAGGGGGCTTCAGGGCACCCAGTTAGCGTGTGCATGGGGCCTTAGGGTCTGGTCATGGTGCATAGGTTTGTAATCCACCCCTTTCCTAGGTTGATAGTACAACAAGTGCTTCAGGAACTTCGACAGTACCATGGGTAAGTGGGAAGGGAGCAGGTGTGAAGGCTAGGTGCGGGAGAAGACAAACAGGAGGCAGTTAGGGAGAAATGGCGGTGGTGGCGGGCCATTGGGGGAGATGGGTGTGAGGGGACAAGAATGGGCATAGGTAGGAGTAGTCAGTTACAGGGCTCTGGCAGAGAGAAGAGAAGTGTGATGATCCTTGCCTGTCATCCCAACATTTGGGAGACTGATGAAGCAGGAAGATTGTGAGTTTAAGGCTAACTTGACCTATGTAGTGAGACTCTGCCAAAGAAGGAGGGGAAGGAAGGGGGGGAAGGAGGTTAAAAATGAGATGGGGAGGGGGTGGGGGGAGTAGGAAAGGGAGGATTGTAAGAGGAGGATGAGAGATGAAGAAGGAAGCCTAATAAAGAATGAAGCAAAGGAGAAAAGGTCTCTGTTTCCTAAAATCTATCATAAAACTTTCCTGACATGCTCCTGTGGTTAGTCCAAGACACAGTACCACCGCCCTCTGCTGGACAGCCTGCTGTCATGTCCCCTTATGCAGTCACTGGTGGGCCCTCAGGCAGGACCCCTAGGATGCTCCTGGACTCTGAAGCCCTGGGGATGCAGAAATACAGGATAAGGACTGAGCTGCCTGAAGACCTAGATGTCTGTCCTCCTCTGCTCCTACAGGGCCCGTCAGCGAGCTCACAAGTCCACCAGCCCTGTTGGAGCCCACTCCAGCCTCACCTGGTTTGAGTTCTTGTCTGAGTAAGCGCACCCTGACATTGGTGGCTATGGTAGGGCCTTTACCCTAAGAGCTGACTTTACCTAGAGAGCAAAGGTTGAGACAGGATGATCACAGGTTCAAGGACTGACTGCTCAGTGAGGGGAGGGGGAAGGAAGGGGAGAGGAAAAGGAAAAGAGGGAAGGGAAGATAGGGAATTGGGAACTACAAACAGGTCACACATCAAGGGGGAGACAGATTCCAGGAGAACCTCTCAGAGTTGCCTCAGAATGGCCTGGAGCCCTCTGTCACCTCCTTCCCACCCTCTAGGAGTGAGGATGGTGCAGGCAAGAATGAGAAGACAGACAGGAGCACCAGAGTGAAGCGTAGCCTGAGCTCCCTCCGAAGCAGGGTCACCAGGCAGAAGGAGAAGGTGAGGGGTTGAGCTGGAGGCAGGGGGACTCTCTCTTCCTTCCCGAGCTCGGTAAAGTATACTTGACTCAGGAACCCTGGGATTTGAACCAGAACTGGATACAAGGAGGTGGAGGACACAAAAAGGCCAGATGGAAGAGTTTCTACAGCTCTTAAGGGAAAGGTATCCTGGCAGTCGGGAGCCAAGGAATACCACAAAGTCTCACCTCACACAGAGAACTGAACAGAAGGAGAGTTTATATAGGATTTCTTGTGGAGAGTCAGGGGTGGAGATTTCCAGAGTGCAGGTTGGTGGAAGTTCAAGTCCAGAGCTTAGGCTCTTTTACTCTGTAGGGTGGGGGCTGGGTCCAGCATGAGAGCAGTGAGAGTGTTTTGTGGGAGGAACCTGGTAGTTGGATCTCCTCAGGGGAGGGGCCTGGCCACTCATGTGCATTGAGGGATTTGCACCACACCATGCAGAAGGATGTCCTGAGACCTATCATTGTCTCATGCAGGGGAAGAGCCCTGCACACCTAAAGGATAAGCTTCAGGATTCTCCAGGGAGGCGGGAGTGTGTCAACGGGCACCAGCTGGTTCGAGGAACCTTCGTGGGTTACTCTAACTGTCCTCTGTGTGGCAAACCTTTGCTGAGTTCAGGTGAGTCCAGCACCATCTATCCACCCAGTGAGGGTGTCAGCCCTCTTTCTTCCTTATGTCCCTCCATTTTCTGGTACATTCTGGCTCTATTTCACTCTCACTGGTATGAGCACGTGTCAGCAGCCACCTGGAGAGAAGCAGAGGGACCAGTCAGTCACTGAGGATGGTGACTAAGCTCCCTAACACAGCTTTGGCCTTGTAAAAATCCATCAGGACCTTGACTCAGGCAGGGTATTTATCTGATGTGGTGACAAAATACATGATACTTACTGGCTAAAATCTCAGAAATGTATTCCGTCATAGTTCTGCGACCTGGCTGGCCAAGGTCAAGATATCTACAGGGAGTCAGTCAAGTTTCTTCCGGCTTCTGATAACTCTACAGCTTGTGACTGCATCTGCCTGCAGTGTTCTCCTCGTGTGCACATTGGGGTCCCAAACTCTTCTTTTTTCTTTATGTTCATGTATGCACCTGCTCATGTATGTACGACAAAAGACAACCTTGACGTCCTTCCTCATGTGTCATCCCGTCTTGTTTTACATGTGATGTGTGTACAGGTACATCCATGGACCTGTACACACATGTGTTCACATATGTGCAGAGGCTAGTGATTAATTCTGGGTATTTCCCTCCGTCACTCTCCATTATTTGAGACAAGGTCTTCACAGAACCCGGAACTTGCTGGTTCAGCGGCTGCCTGAAAGCCCCAGGGGTCTTCCTATCTCTCTCTGCCTACAGGAATTACAAGCACTGTGCCCCTCATGCATCTTATTTATTTATTATTTTACATGGGTTCTGGAGGACTGAACTTAGTCCCTTGTGCTGGCAAGGAAAGTGCCTTTACTGATTGTGTCATCAGGCCAGATTCCAATCTCCCTTTCTTTAAGGATCCATCATCATGTTGGAGCAGGGACTCAACCTAGTCCATTATGAAGCTCATTGTGAGTTAAGACTATGTACTCAAGAGCTTGACCTTTATTTGAATTGCATTTTATTTATTTTTGTTTTCTGTGTGAGTGTGTGTGGGTACAGAGGACAGTTCTCTCACCATTTCTGGGGATAGAATTCAGGTCATCAGGCTTTGTCGCAAGCTTCTTTACTGAGCCATGGTCTCATTCTGGAATAAAAGGAGGGCTGGGGCTATAATATATGAGAGGAGACAGTTCAACCTATAGTGTGGAGTTTCCTACCTCCCGGGGCTGCCCAAAACTACTGGGTTGGGCTGGGCTGGTGTGAGTCTGTGCTTAGCAAGCAGTCCTAGGTTCCTGGAATCCTCAGGGAAAGAGGACTCTGATTGTCACTGGGATTTATAACAGTGCCCTTTTGAAATCAAGCTCAATTTTGAAGAGAATTAAAGAGGAAGTGGTATTGTAGTTGGTACTTGGTGGTAGTAGATGGTGTTGGAGACATGGGTGAGCTGGTAGAGCATTTGCCTGGCATGCACAAAGCCCTGAGCTCCACCTTCAGCATGGAAGGTGCATGCCTGAGATCCCAGAACTCAGGAGGTGGAGGCAGGAGGATCAGAAGTTCAACACTGAAGTAGGCTAGATAGAATTCAAGGCCAACCTATCTTGTTTGAGTGTGTGTGTGTGTGTGTGTGTGTGTGCAGTTTGTAGCAAGAATTCAAACTACAGAGTATTGATAATCAAGACTCAGGCAAGTTCAAGGTACAAGTACAGGACATTAGTACTATTGGCCTTTGGGGCCAAGTAACACTTATAACAATGACCTCAATCCACTTGGTACTAATAGTACCTGCCTACCCTAATGTTGTGACAGAATGCCTCCAAACATTGTCAAATGTCTTGTGTTAGTGCCGGACAGAGTATCCCCAGGTGAGGACCAGTATTCTGAGACTGCTGGTAGGCCCTAGGGTGTGCATAGACTTTGAAGTGAGAACAACAGACCTGGTGCCTCCTGGACACCTGAGTGGCAGACTTTTCTTCTGTCCACTTTTTTTCAAAGTGTCATTTTGCTAATTAAATAGCTATGGGTGTTCTGCCTGTGGCTACTACTATTTATTGTAATGGTGACTGAACCAAGGCAATACAACACATAAGCCAGTATTCTGCTGTATTATGCCCCCAGCGTCTTACTGGGGGATTCTAGGCAGGTGCCCTACCTCTGAGACACACCTCCAGCCAGCTTTTTACTTTTTGAAACAGAATCTTATTTAGTTATGCAGGCTGCCCTTGAACTCACTCAGCAGCCCAGGAAGACTTTGAACTTGCTGTCTTCCTACTTTTGAGTAGGTGTGATGTCTTGGTTTCTTTTCCTTCTCTCCTCTCTGTCTCTTCTCCCTCTACCCAGTGGCCTCCCCATGTCCCTTTCTCTCGACCTGCCCCCCCCTTTTTTCCTTTCAAAAGGGTCTCACATAGCCCAGGCTGCCCCAAAGTTTCAAACTTGCCATGTAGCTAAAGATGACCCAAACTTCCTTCTGGGATTATGGTCATGAATCACCACATTCAGTTTCTGTGGTGCTGGGTGTGGAACCAAGGGCTGCATGCAGGTTAGGCAAGCACTCTACCAACTGAGCTACAGCTTCAGCCTCCCTTTCCGTATGGATTACCAGCTGCTGCATTTAGGAAACAGTGGTAGGAGTGAGTCATTTACAGAATGTTCTGCAGAGCCGGAACTATTTTCTGGGAGGGCTCTTTAGAGAAATGCTCATCCCTGAGCTAGATCCTGTAGTAAGCAAAGCAGACAGAGTGGGGTGATCAATGAACCCCAGCAAATACATCCTTGGCAGTCAACAGTTCCTTCAACCTCCAGTTTCCTGAATGGAAGGTTGTGGTCCTGGAGAGTTTGTGCAGATAACAAGGGGCAGCCTGGCTGTGCTGAGCACTTTTTGTCGCAAACACCTAACTACTTGAGAGGTACCCTCATCTCCCTTCCCATTTCCTTCATAGATGAGGAAACTGAGCCTGAATGAAAACTCCCACATTTGTTTGTTTGCATCTGAAAGTATGCCCACCCCCACATTCGAAGTGAAAAACTCCTTCCTGGAGTCATTTCTCTCCTTGTATCTTGTGGGTCTTTAGGATCAAACTCAGGTTGTCAGGACTTGCCTGCAAATGCCTTTACTTGACCCAAGAATTTTGGTTTTGCTGTTATTTTGGAGACAGTGTCTCAGGTAACCCAGGCTGCCCTCAAACTGGCTAGGCAAGGGTTTCTGCTCCTCCTATCTCATGTACCCAGAAACGGCATTGCAGGTGTGCCCCACCACGAATGGTTTTATATAGTGATGAGGGTGGAATCCAAGGCTTCATGCGAACCAGACAAACACTCTAACAACTACATCCCAGTTCCTCCAAAGAATTTAAATATTTCTCTTTCTTAGTTTTTTATTGTTCTTTGAGGAAGGGATTGTTTTGTTTTACATTTCTCTTTAAAAATAGGGCCTTACAATATCATGGAGGCTGGTTCCAAACTCCTGGACTCACACAATTCTCCTGCTTCAGCCATTTAAATAGCTGGGACTACATGCATGAGCCCCTTTGTCTAACGAGAAGTTATTTGGGGCAGGAGAGATGGCTAAGTGGTTAAAAGCACTTGCCGCTCTTGCAGAGGACCCATGAGTGGTTCCCAGCACCAAGACAATGGCTCAGAACCACTCATAACTCCAGTTCCAAGGGATCAAACACCTTCTTCTGGCCTCCTAAGGCATCAGGGATACACACGGTGCACATGCATACATTGAGGAAAACACACATAAGAAATAAAAATAAATGTTAAAAAAAAAGTTCAGCCGGGTGGTGGTGGCGCACGCCTTTAGTCCCAGCACTCAAGAGGCAGAGGCAGGTGGATCTCTGTGAGTTCGAGACCAGTCTGGTGTACAAGAGCTAGTTCCAGGACAGCCTCCAAAGCTGCAGAGAAATCCTGTCTCGGAAAAAAAAAAAAAAGTTCTTGCCTAATCTGGATTGAGTTCTTACCTAACTCAGAACTAAAGCCATTGTTTCATCCCATGTTTAATTTTTCTACTTTATTTACTTTTATTTATTTATTTTTGTTTGTTTGTTTTTAACTTATTTGAGAAAGGCTGTCCTGTAGCCAAGTCTGTCCTGGAATTCTCTATATAGCCTTGAACTCCTGATCTTCCTGCCCCAACCTTCTGAGTGCTAGGATGATAAATATATGTCACTATGCTCAATTTGTGCAGTGCAGGGGCTGGCTTCCTATATGCTAGGGAAGCACTCTACCGGCTTGCCAAGGTCACTTATTCTAACTCCAGCCTTGACACCCCCCTTCTATGTTGGGGTTGGAAGGCACTTGTATGTAATGGCATATGTGTATATAGAGGTTAAAGAAACCACTCTGTGGTGACTGTTCCTTCCGCGGTGTGGGTCCGTAGTATCAACACATCAAGCTGGTGGCAAGAACCTTTAACCACCAGGCCAAATCACGGCCATCCCACCCCCAGTAGAGTCTTTGATAAGCTTCCTAGGTGGGAGTGTCTGGGGAGGGAGGGAGAGCGATAGAGGGAGAAGTTTATTAAAGAAGGAAAAGGCACTCCTAAGCAAAGGAGAGGACTGAGGCTCAAAAGCTAGCAGTAGGTGATATTCGAAAAATCTGTTGTGCTTTTCCCACTCTATTAGCTATGGGGATTTTTGTTGTAACTCTTTTGATTTCTGTTCTTTTTCCGTTTTTCTGGCAGTTTGTGGGTGTGGTGTGTATGTGTGCCTGCACGGGTGAGGGCACATATGTGCACGAGTGTTGTGTGTACCTGTGCACAAGCATGTTGAGGGCTGAGGTTGGTAAGAGGATAGACCCAGCCAAGTGCAAAGTCCCAAAGTCCCAGGTGCCTGGAGGAGTCACCTCTTGGCGAGGCCCTGCCCCCTTCCGGGCCCCGCCCCCTGGGGACGGCCTACGCACGCGCAGCTTGATCTCGCACGGTACATCGCTTCCGGCTCCTGGGAGGCCGGGCGGGCGGAGGCTGCGGGAGCGACCCAGGAGCCAGCAGGGCAGAGAGCGGCCTGTGAGGGACCCTGCAGAGGTGAGGGGG